AAATTTTTCATGTTCAAAAATAAAATTTGTTCTTTGAATGACTAATTTGCTGTAAAACTCCTCATATGAATGCCTGCATGACATGTATAATTCAGTTTAGACAGTTTGCAAGAATATTTAGCATCCCTGTTATGAAAATGATTGCTGCGAGACGCTGGTGGAGTGAACAAGGCTTGAGAGAGTTGTGAGTGAGGGCGCGGGCGCAGATCCAGCTATTATAAGCGTGTTTGGACTTGTCTTTTCCACTTAATTTTACACTTTAGAAAGTTAATAAAGTAGGAAGTTGCAGTTTAGAGTCAGCTATATCTTTATATTATCTTATTTGCAAAAGATTGGAAATTTCAGTTTATTTTTATTTGTTTGTTTTAGTATCAATATCTGGCAACACTGCATCGCCGGCACTTAAACTGAATGCAATCAAAAAAGCCCATGGACAGGTTTTTGTTGACAGGATACGACATTCTGTAAGGGAAACGCAAAAATTATCATGATATCTGTCATAAACGTTATCAACGCTGTCAAAAACAGTAGCATTTACCACTAGTACACACAGATCTGTAGAACAAGTAGGTTACAGAATGAAATGAAATACGCAAAAACTAGCCATGAAGAAGTCTGATATGTAATTCAGTATAGCTAAATTTTACTATTTTACTTAATTAGTGAGTCCTCTATGAAACATTCTGTAACTTTCTGCTTAAATGTTTAGCAGGCTGATGCTTGTGGAGGATGAAGCAAACTACCACAATCTGGCATACTTTACTACACCTACGTAATTGACACATTACTAAATACTTCCTTTTTAAAACATTTTAAAAACCTCATAATGTTTAATCAAAATGAACAAAGCTCTTTATAAAAACCTTCAGAATATAGATCAAGTTTGCAGAATGGACGTGCTACAGAAGTGGCAATTTCTGGCTCTTATTAAATTAGTACTGTGGCTGAAATCTACAGATGCAATCAAATAAGCAGTTTATAAAAATTGTACTTTGGATGATTTCTTTCCATTAGACCAGTGATCCTCAAATCTGGCTCGCGAGATCCACTTTCCTGCAGAATTTAGCTCCAACCCTATAATCAAACAAACCTACCTGTGATTTTCTAACGATCCTGAAGACATTGATTAGCAAACTCAGCCTAGCAGCCCCGGGCTCTGATTGGCTGGAATTATGGCATATTGTAACGCTGGGTTGTGTTGAGCACGCGAGCCGTCGGCATTTAGAGAGCACTGAGGGCGGGCATCAGGTGAGTAAGCTAGTGAAACGTTGCACGCGCAAAAGAGGTCTGCACACATCCAAAAACGTATTTTAAATGCAAAATTGATTTTCGTGCACTCGAAAGACTTTTTTCTTTGCGAAACAAACATTTTCTCCACAAAACTCTACAAAATGCACTGTGCGCGCTCAAAATATGATCTTTTGCGCGCAGAATTGTGGCAGAGATCTAAGCCTATAAGTGTTCCGCAAGAACCGCCATTTATATCAGATATTGCCGAAGACTGTCATTTTCTTTTTAAGAGAAACATATGAGACGTTCTTAAAATATGAAAGCACATTTGAGAACGTCTTCAAAAAGTTTCAAGAATTGCTCTTAGGAGTTAAATCCGGCCTCTGGTTAAGTTTGACGGCAGATGGTTAGTGAATATGACAGGCATGGGCGCTGAAATCCCACGCTCTAAAGCGAAGCTACAGCTATAGTGTAGTCTAAATGAAAACAGACTGTCTCTACTGTAAATAACAGGAGGCTGTTCACCCTAAAAGAAACACTGAACCATAAACTGCAAACCCAGCGTAGAGTGGTTCAGTGAACGTGGTGTTGAATGTGTGTATGTGTGTCAGTGTGTGTGTGCCTGAGACACTGTAGAAGGACAGAGTGCCAGCCGGCCTGTCCAGATACACTGCTACTCTGCTCAAAGGGTCTGACTGGACATGTATGTCTGTGTTCTTATCATCGTGCCAGGCACTGAATCTATCAATAGTACAGAAAAGACTCCAGGATTTTTTATTCCACCCCAATCTACAGTCACTCCCTCCTTTCTTTCTGATTCCTCTATATGTTACTGCAACATAAGCCCCCCCACTCCATTCAACCTCCCAGTAACAGCGTTCAGACAGAGTTTCTCTACACAGAACCTGTTCCTGGTTCTCAAATCTCTCCAGATGATCTGGATATGGCTGCTTGTCTTCCACACGCCTCGCCCTTTTGTTCCCCTCAGACAGAGTGAGACGAGTGTTTGCCGTGTTTGGATCCAGCGTGAGATCATAAGCATCTAAGCACAAGAAGAGAGAGATTAGAACAACAGATACAGCTAATTAATTAACCCCTCTCTTCCATTTTTTTGAGTATTTGTTGGCACATTACTATCAAAAACAAAACTAATATTGTTTTGTTTAGTTTATCTCAAGATAAAATGAATACTCTTGTGTTCACTTTTACATCTAGCAGAACATCTGCATTGCTTATGAGACGTTGTCACTAGCTGCTCGAGCATGGACAAAATGGCGGACAGCGTACAACTGGCTGAGGGTGGAAATATGCTAATATGGGGCAGTCTAGAAATTAATGAAGACAGAGTTATATGAGAACGAATATATAGTTGTGCTTTTGTGATTTTAGCTCAATAATATTTTTTTTCATTAATATTTTTATTATTTTAAAGGGTCAGTTCACCCAAAAATGAAAATTAGCCCATAAATGACTCACCCTCAAGTCATCCTAGGTGTTTATGACTTCCTTCTTTCAGACGAATCCAGTCGGAGTTATGTTAAAAATTCTCTGATTTTTCAAGCTGTTTCATGGCACTCAGCGGGTGTTGCATGCATCAGTCCAAAAGTTAAATAAAAAGCTAATTTTCATTTTTGGGTGAACTAACCCTTTAAGGGAATTTTACTAAATATTAACTTCTAAATTATGCACCATTTACCATCTTCAATATCAGGGTGTAACCTCTAGACGCCACTGTCTCGTGAACGACAGTTAGCAGAAGCAAGAGATTAAGGTTTATAAAGTTGTAAATATGGATATTTTTTTTCCTTTCAGAAGGCCTTTATTAACCCCCCGGAGCCGTGTGGACTTCTGTTATAATGGATGGGTGCAATTTTTTGAACTTCAAATTTTGGGCTACCATCCACTCCCATTATAAAGCATGGATTAGCACATTACTTGTATCAGGTTATTCATTGATATATATTTTTTGACATTATAAAAGACTACATTTTGTAAAAGTTGAAATTTAAATGTTGATTTGAAGTGTCAGTTATTATTATTGTAGTCAAATCTGGACAGAGAAAGCATTTTGTTAGGCTACTCATACTAGCTACAGCATGATCAGTCACACGAAAGTCTAATAAGAATAAATATTGGCTCAGTGTGACCAGGGCAATATTTTAAAACATAGAATTGAGTGTTTACATACCATGAACAGAGACGTTCTGTGGTTGAGATGTGTATCCTATTTGAAAACATCTGCATCTCAATCAGCAACTGGTAAATTGAGATCCCAGTAGCTTTACTGGCGTGGTAAAAGTGCTTTATAAAGCATTGACAGCGCTTCGAACCAGTGGTGTTGAGCATTATCAAATGTAGAGGCTACAAATCATCGTTTTCAGTCACGTGACTGGCTCAAAGACCTGGTGGGAAAGTGCGTGGGCCCTTTAGAATCGTCCTAGCTTTTCCACCCCTTAGTGGCGCCCCTCCAAACACCATGTAAAAGTACATTTTGCATCCGATGCCCCTTTTAATAATAATAATAATAATAATAAGTAAGAATAAAATAATATTAATATAAATTAGTTTTTTTTACTTGGCTAGCACTAATTGTTGTATGATGGCCAATTAACTGTTTAATTGAGCACTTTCAGGAAACCAATATTAAGGGTAACATGCAATTTTTATGTATTCTATGTTTTTGAATATTAGAGAAAGGGAGAGCCTACATTTTTGTAGTCCTGGTGTGATCCTGAAATCTCCACAATGGTCTAAGCTAAAAAGTGAGAGAAATGTAGAAATGAGGTAAGAATAAGCAGTGCAGGTCCATACTTTCAGAACAACTTGTGCTTTCCTCATACCGTTTAATTACATTTTAACAACAACAACAAAAAATGTTAGCAGACTTTAAGATGAAATAAGAACATTAAAATACTAGATCATTACAAATGTAAACTGGAACATTTATCAGGGCAAAACAGTAAACTCTGAAACATATATTCAAAGCTAAATCTGCTTGTGAGTCCAGATTTAAAAGCCTTAAAAATACACATTTATCAGAACTAAATGTGTCACGAAATCCAACATACTTGAGTTTCTCCAGTTTGCAGTCAGGATTCTCTAGCAGAGCAGAAAACATCTTGACTCCAGCATCTCCTGGGTGATTGTAGCTCAGATCCAGCTCTCTCAGGTGTGAAGGGTTTGAAATAAGAGCTGAAGCCAGAAAACAACAGCTTTTTTCTGTGACCATACAGCCAGATACCCTAGATGAAGAATAATTAAAAGTGAGACTGGGATATCAACTTAAATTAGATTTATACATCTCATTCTAGATATCTGAAAACAGGATTCAAATATCTTTTGTTACTCTTACCTCAGTATCTCCAGCCGACAGTTTGGACTCTTCAGTCCAGCACAGATGAGCTCCACACCAGCATCCTGCAGGTCATTGTTACTCAAGTCCAGCTCTATCAGGGGCGAATCAGTTGATTTTAAAACTGATGCCACAATTTCATAGCACTGATCTGTGAGATTACAGCCATCGAGACTGGAAGAGAGTACAGCGCTGTTTCAGTTGATGTAATTGACACCGGTGACCGGTTGATAATGTCAATGATCATCATTCTCATACAATGCTGAAGTTTTTCAACTGAATAGTTGCCATAGATTCTGGCAAAAACATTTTGGGTTAAGTAAATAGAGTCTACGGGCGCATAACACAAATTGTATTAAATAATTAAGAAAGTGTAGACTTACATAAATTATAAATAATTTGGAGAATTTTAAACTCGAGGAAAATAATCTGAAGCACACATCAACGTCTTGTTTGTCATGTAAATAATAAAATAACTTTATTTGAAAAATAAGAAGTAACCTTTTGGTAAACTGATTTTAAGACAATACAAGACAAAAGCTAAGTGTATTTTTTTTATATTTCAATACTAAGACATTTCTTACAAGTAAACACTCACAGTGCTTTTCTGCAGTTCATCACAGCTGGTACCAGTCTCCTTCTGCCCTCATCTGATGTGTTGTATTTCTTAAGATCCAACTCCTCCAGCACCTCATCTGAAATCTGGAGCAAGTAGGCGATCGCCGAGCAGTGAGATGGAGAGAGTTTATTCTCTGAGTGTTTGACTGATTTCAGAAACTCCAGAATTTCTCTGAACAGAGTCTGATCTTTCATCTCCAGCAGACAGAGGAAAAGATTGATGGATCTGTCAGCCGAGAGACCCTGTTCATGTTTGATTTTGTCTTTAATGTAAGCTGTGGTTGTCCTGATGCTCTCAGAGCTCTCCTCTGTGTGTGTCAGCAGACCCTGCAAGAGTCTCTGATTGGACTCCAGTGAGATGCCCAGCAGGAACCGCAGGAAAAGATCCAGGTGTCCATTCTTACTCCGAAGAGCCACCTCTATCACTCCTCTATGCAAATTAGGAAGCAAGTCAAAAACATTCAGAAACTCTGAATTATTATTTACAAAGCCATAAAATACATAAAATGCAGCGAGAAACTCCTGAAAGCTCAGATGTATAAAGCAGTAGATTTTCCTCTGATGCACCACAGATTCCTCCTTAAAGATCTCAGTGCAAATCCCAGAATACACTGTGACGTCAGTGACATCTATACCGCTCTCAATCAGGTCCTCCTCATAGAACATCACATTGCCCTTCATCAGCTGTTTATAAGCCAGTTCAGCAAGTTTCACAATCACTTCTCTGTTGGACTTCAGGAGTTCCTCTGGATCTCTCCCACATGTCTTTTCATACTTCTGACTCCTCATGTTCATCTGAGTGAGCAGGAAGTGGATGTACATCTCAGTTAGAGTTTTAGGGATTTCTGCACTGTCCTCTTGTTTCAGGAGGTTCTGAAGCACAGTGGATGAGATCCAGCAGAAGATGGGTATGTGACACATGATGTGGAGGCTTCTTGATCTTTTAATGTGTGAGATGATTCTGCTGGCTTGATGCTCATCACTGATTCTCTTCCTGAAATATTCCTCCTTCTGTGGCTCACTGAATCCATGAATTTCTGTCAGACGGTTGATGTATTGTGAGGGGATCTGACTGCCTGCTGCTGGTCTGGAGGTGATCCAGATGAGAACATTGTGAAGCAGCTCTCCTCTGATGAGATTTGACATTAACACCCCCACTGATGAAGACTCATTCACATCTGAAACTGTCTCATTTTCTGAAAACATCAGTGTAATTCTGCTTTCATCCAGGCCATCAAAGATGAACACAACTTTACACTCCTCAAGAATCTTTGAGTCCAGATCCTGAAGTACAGGATGAAAGTCCACCAGAAGTCTGTGAAGACTGTACTGATCATCTTTGATCAAGTTCAGCTCTCGAAATGGAAGCACAAACATGAAATCTACATCCTGATTGGCTTTTCCTTCGGCCCAGTCCAGAATGAACTTCTGCACAGAGACTGATTTTCCTATTCCAGCGATGCCGCTAGTAAGAACAGTCTTGATTACGTCTTCTCTCTGCTTCTCATATCCTGGCAGAGGTTTAAAGATGTCATTGCAGTTGATTGGAGTTTCCTGGAGTGTAATGTAATTTTTCTCCATCTGTAAGATCTCATGTTCTTCATTCACTCCTTCCCTCTCCCCCTCTATGATGAAGAGCTGTGTGTAAATGCTGTTCAGGAGGGTTTTATTCTCTTGTAATTGAATTCCCTCAAATAAGCTCTCATACTTGATTATCATGCTCATTTTGTATTTCTCCTTGAACACATTAACACCTGCAGTGTTGTGGGGAGGAGAACCGAAACTGGATAATCCACATTTGGAATGAGCACCTCTCTCCACACTGAAGAAACACAGCAACAGAAACATTTCTTGATTACAATTTTTTTTTGATTACAAGAGATTTTACTCCAAATAGAATTCAAACTTTAAATAAAAAAAAAAAAAAGTAACTAAATTGACTCAAACCACATTACTACAGTGGGGTTATCCCAATAATTTAAATGAACATTTAATAATTTAAGTATTTGAATTACAGTATACATTATTATTAGAAATGCATTATTAGATATAATACAAATAATTCTGATTTGATGCTGTCAGTATTTGACTGAGAAGCATGCTTGTAATTCAAATGAACTTTCCATTTTTTTCCTTTAGGCTGAACTTTATATTGACGTTCTATTGTAGAGGGCTTAAAGAAGTCTAATGCATAGATCCAAAAAAATTTGTGTATAACTATCTGTATTGGGTGCTTTAGCTGCAAAAATGAAAAGTAGACAACTTGTTCAAGACATAATCAATATTTTCCAGTCACATTCAACATGCAAGACAATTGCTTTTTCTAAGGGAACAACCAAGACTCTCCGAGGTTCACCCACCACAGTTTCACAATATCCTGTGGGAAACACTGAACATACTTAATACAGACTAAGGAAAAATGCACCCACAATTTTTAATTCTGTCATCATTTACATAATCTTGTCATCAGGGTGAGTAAATGATGACACAATTTTCATTTTGGGGTGGACTATCCCTTTATTAAAAATATCATATATATACTTGATTTGAATGCATTCCAGCATTTGCCACAACACTGACATGTCAAGAATTTACATTTTAAGTGTCATCATACGTGGGGGAGTCTGCAGTTTGCTTTCTTAAAAAGTAAAAACAAATCAGGAAATGTAATCGCATTTACTTAGACCCTATGTTGCCTGTATAATACAAGATTTTACTGAAGCAGATTCTAGTCTTACCTGGGGTCAAAGGGCACCGATCCATCACTGAATTTAGGATGTTCATACATGGAGTTGATGCTCTTCAGAGACACACAGCTGGTTTCTGACGAAGCAGCTGTAAATTGCTTTCTAAAAAAATGTATAAAAAATCAACACAGGAAATGGAAACACGTTTAGTTTCTTTTTTGCCTGTATAATACAAGATTTTACTGAAGCCGAGTCTAGTCTTACCTGGGGTCAGAGGGCACCGATCCATCACTGAATTTAGGATGTTCATACATGGACTCGATGCTCTTCAGAGACACACAGCTGGGTTCTGGAGATGCTCTTCTCCGTCTGTTCTCCTCTCCTTCCATAGCTTTCAAAAGGCTAGAATAGGTCAACCACACAAAGCCAAAAATAAACTCTATATAAGCTGTTATATTTTTTTTCTAAAATGTTCGTTTGTTTAATTCTGATATCATGTTTTCATGTGTATAAATTATATGTGAATATTCACAGACAACCTCACAGCACATTCTCTATATGGGATAGGTGATAGATTGATAAAAATAAATAAATAACATCTTTGTCTTCACAAGCTATTTTTCAGAGCCAACAATATTCATAGTACACAATCCCTGGTTTAGTAGAATACTACATTAGTAAACAAGCTATGTATCTAGCGCTGATTTGAAATACAGAAAATAGATATATAGGAGTTCAAATAAGTGCATATCTAAGTTTCACAACAACAAAACAACATGGGTATAATAATGTATAATGTGTCATTCTTGTGCAAGTTTGCATGCCTCAACAAGTATCTTAATATGATATCCTATTAGATTTTGGTTCTTAACATATTTTTCTTTTGGTGTCTTAATTTTTAAGGCTCTATATGGTTGATTTCCAGATATATGCATTTCAGTGTGGCTCCAAGACCAAACTTAAATTGTACACATTTTCAGTGGCCAAAATCCAAATGTAGGGCACTTTGTAATCAAAAACCAAATGCCACGATATTTAGCGCCTCTAGTGTTCATAACGGCATTACAAGACCCACTTACATAATTTGTTTACAAAGCCACGAACAACCCAAAATAGCATTTTCTTGTAACATATTGAAAAATATGTACACATTTAAAAGGTTAAAAAGGCTCAATACAAACCAATAAATGTTAAAAGACGACAAACGTCAAACATTAGCGATTACATTTCACAATCTGACTATATGATCTGCGTGTCGAAGTAAACAACCACAGCTTAATATTATTCACTTAAAATTAAAGTTTAAAATACCATATTGTCTGACTGATAACTCGAAAGCCAACTTACTGTGTGAAATACTAACTTGTGTGTTTTGGTGATTTTCGCGGTTTTATCCTCGGTGCTGTTCATCTACTGTACACGTCGGTGCAAACGTCTTTGGCTGCTTGCAGTTTTACTTTCGGTTTGTTTTGAAACTTAACATATGTTGCCAAGTCCGCGGTTTTCCCGCGGAATTGGGCTAATCTAAAACCGTTGCCGCGGGTTGTTTTCATGTCCGTGGGTTGAAGCGACCCCAATTACGTGATATTTATCTATATGAGACCCCTGAAGTGTAAAAACGTGTACCCCCCCCCGGACCGCCATTGGGCTAGTTTTGAGTAGCGATTTGGCGGGTTTTGGCATGGCATGGCAACCCTGGGCCAAAAAGATATCAACATTGCCATGCAAAAAGTGTTTAGCCAAGATAAGAGAGAAGTAGAAGTAGAAACTTCAAAACCAATGTGAACCCACAACAGACAGCCATGAGAATTTGAAGACATCCAACTCCAACAAAGCAAAACAGCTTCAAACTATATTTACACAATATACAATGCAAGAGATTCAAACTTTTCTTCAATGCTCCACCTACGAAGTTGATCTTCTTAAGGCACATTAAGTATGTCACATAAATGATTATGCAAAAAATGGAGGCTGATTCCAATCAGCGACTCCAAATTAGCTTAAAAATAAACACACATAACACAATTATTCAATGCACATACGGAAGTGAAGCTGTACATGATATTAAAGATTTAACTGTAAACCATTAACAATTTTCAGACTGAAAGATATACAGATACATTACAAAATTTACAGAAAATCACCTGGTAATGTGTAATACACTGAAGTTACTGTCATTGTGACACAGAAAACACCAAGTCACCCCATTTGCGTGACATTTATAACACTTATTTATATATATTTACCAGGAAAATGATCTTTCTGCATGTTGATCAAAAGAGTCATTTTTATCGGAGTTTTAATGAATGCAGTGGTCATTAAGGGCTCTATATTTACAAGCACACACATAAATCGTGTCTCAGCGTGGAGAACGTCGAGGTTTGAATCTTTCCCAGCCGGCGCTGTCTGTCCAGCTGTTCTCTGGGAGCAGCGAGTCCTTCAGTCTGTCTGGCAGTGGCAGGGCTTTCACCTTCTCCTCGAAGGACCAGGGCCGCAGACAGAAGCGGATGAGTCTCCTGCAAAGGCATCTCAGTGGCAGCGACTGCCTTTCTTGCTCCTCTAGTCTGCTGTAGAGCTCCAGCAGGGGCTGACGGGTAGAGATCTGATCCAGCACGGGCAGTTTTGAGCGGGGGAAGAGAGGAGGAATGACCGGACAGCAGATTCTGGCCAGATCCAACAGCACTTCAGCTTTGGCTAAAACATCAGCCGTCTCAGCAGCATCTAAAGCTTCCCGGAGAGCTTCTGCGAGACGTGTGAATATCAACTGTTGACCTGTCCAGTAGGAGGCGTGTGGTGAGAGCAGACCATGCTGGAGTAAAAGGGCGGTCAGGGGAAACAGCAAGTCGAAGTTCTCCAGACTGGTGTAGGTTAGTGAATGTCCCCACACTTCCCCGTCGGTAGCGTTCAAGCAGCAGCTGGGATCGGCACCGTGGCTGGTCAGAAGATGTGCCACGCGGGTACAGAAGTGCCCGATCTCCTTCGCATCCTTCACGCTGCTGTCCAGAGCCTCCTTCACCAGGAACGTGAGTGAAGACATGGGGGTCTCGCCATCATGTGTGGTGGTGTTCACATCTGCACCTGCATGGGATTATAAAAACACAATGTTAGCATTAACACCAATAAGCAATAAAAAAATATTTTTAAATGCTTTAAAAAAAACATAAAATATAAGTAAAAATTTATCAAATAAAATAATTACTATATATATATATGTGTGTGTGTGTGTGTGTGTGTGTGTGATCAATTTAAATATAATTATAAATGATTTATAACATTTTATATTAAAATAATGTGTAAACATTATAAATTATATTGTATTGTATTTTATTTAATTTTGTTTTTTTATTATTTTATATTTTATTTTATTTGTATATATTATTTTGTTTTGGGGTAAAATATGACCAATAATATATAATAATTTTCTAATATTATATATATGGTATACAGTATAATAATACATAGTAATTGTAAGAATATATATTATAAATTATAATAAACATCTGTTCCATTTTTATTTGACCCTCTAACTCTAACACTTTCTGTTCTATTTAAATTCTACTTTATCTATGTATCTTCTTTTTTATTAAAATACTTGTCATTTGCACTTACATATTGTTGCTCTTTTGTTAGTTTTTTGATTGCTTCTATTGTCCTCATTTGTAAGTCGCTTTGGATAAAATCGTCTGCTAACTGACTAAATGTACATGTAAATTATACAATTAAACTTCTTTCAACATTGCAATAACAACTATACAAAACTTTTAGTTTAATATTTGAAATAAATTATACATTCTTCCATGTTGAAACAATTTTTAAAACATCCATTAATGAAATTTCTGAATACAATTGTTGTCTAGTAATGTCCGAGCTGATGTTTTAAATTCACAGTGAAGCACCTCTTTCTAGAAGCAGCTGTATATTTTCCAAATTATTGACTGTGAGTCCATCAGTGCTGGCCAGAGCATGAAGCAGTGCCGTTTTTCCTGCAAGCAGGTACAATAAACAAAGAGTTAGAATCATATATAAAAATGAAACCACAAACAATCTATTTGGTTAGATAATTCAGCAAACATACCATTCTTGTCTTTTGCATTCACATCAGCACCCAAAACCAGAAGCACGCGCAGACACGGCAACTTATCCACCTCCTCACCGGCCAAATCAAGAGGGCTGCTTTCATGAATCTATTGCAGAGACAAAAAAGCAAATATTTAAGAAATGTAAAAAGTAAAGATAATGTCTGCATTGAAAGCAAATATAAGAGATACAATGAATATTTAAAAAAATTAAAAATAATATGCATGTTCACAACAGGTCATTTTATATATAGTGAGAGAGATTGAGAGAGAGAGAGAGAGAGAGAGAAATTCTCACCCTGTCCCTCTTTTCGATTTCAGCTCCGTGAGATATCAACATCTGCACCATGTCACCATGTCTTCTCAACACTGCAATGTGTAAGGGGTTGTAGTACGATACAGAATCTGAAACCATAAGAAAAAGGTCTGATTATGTTTCCTTGATGATAATGAGGTTTATCAGAATCCCAAAAGCATCTTCAGCATCTACAAACCTTCAAAGTTGAGATCAGCTCCGTAGCGCAGAAGCACCTGTGCTGCGCTGACCAACCCAAGATCAGCCACTCGAAACAGAGAGTAACTGATTCCCTCCATGAAGACAGGAGACTGAGACTCCCTATCCAGAAGTGACATGTGGCCAAGTATGGCGACCCATACTCGGAATTAGTGCTCTGCATTTAACCCATCCAAAGTGCACACAAACAGCAGTGAACACACACACACCGTGAACACACACCCGGAGCAGTGTGCAGCCATTTATGCTGCGGCGCCCGGGGAGCAGTTGGGGGTTCGGTGTATTTAAATTCTACTTTATCTATGTATCTTCTTTTTTATTAAAATACTTGTCATTTGCACTTACATATTGTTGCTCTTTTGTTAGTTTTTTGATTGCTTCTATTGTCCTCATTTGTAAGTCGCTTTGGATAAAATCGTCTGCTAACTGACTAAATGTACATGTAAATTATACAATTAAACTTCTTTCAACATTGCAATAACAACTATACAAAACTTTTAGTTTAATATTTGAAATAAATTATACATTCTTCCATGTTGAAACAATTTTTAAAACATCCATTAATTAAATTTCTGAATACAATTGTTGTCTAGTAATGTCCGAGCTGATGTTTTAAATTCACAGTGAAGCACCTCTTTCTAGAAGCAGCTGTATATTTTCCAAATTATTGACTGTGAGTCCATCAGTGCTGGCCAGAGCACGAAGCAGTGCCGTTTTTCCTGCAAGCAGGTACAATAAACAAAGAGTTAGAATCATATATAAAAATGAAACCACAAACAATCTATTTGGTTAGATAATTCAGCAAACATACCATTCTTGTCTTTTGCATTCACATCAGCACCCAAAACCAGAAGCACGCGCAGACACGGCAACTTATCCACCTCCTCACCGGCCAAATCAAGAGGGCTGCTTTCATGAATCTATTGCAGAGACAAAAAAGCAAATATTTACAGATATTTAAGAAATGTAAAAAGTAAAGATAATGTCTGCATTGAAAGCAAATATAAGAGATACAATGAATATTAAAAAAAATTAAAAAATAATATGCATGTTCACAACAGGTCATTTTATATATAGTGAGAGAGATTGAGAGAGAGAGAGAGAGAGAGAGAAATTCTCACCCTGTCCCTCTTTTCGATTTCAGCTCCGTGAGATATCAACATCTGCACCATGTCTGGCTTGTTTCTCAACACTGCAATGTGTAAGGGGTTGTAGTACGATACAGAATCTGAAACCATAAGAAAAAGGTCTGATTATGTTTCCTTGATGATAATGAGGTTTATCAGAATCCCAAAAGCATCTTCAGCATCTACAAACCTTCAAAGTTGAGATCAGCTCCGTAGCGCAGAAGCACCTGTGCTGCGCTGACCAACCCAAGATCAGCCACTCGAAACAGAGAGTAACTGATTCCCTCCATGAAGACAGGAGACTGAGACTCCCTATCCAGAAGTGACATGTGGCCAAGTATGGCGACCCATACTCGGAATTAGTGCTCTGCATTTAACCCATCCAAAGTGCACACAAACAGCAGTGAACACACACACACCGTGAACACACACCCGGAGCAGTGGGCAGCCATTTATGTTGCGGCGCCCGGGGAGCAGTTGGGGGTTCGGTGGCTTGCTCAAGGGCACCTCAGTCGTGGTATTGAAGGTGGGAGAGAGCGCTGTACATTCACTCCCCCCACCTACAATCCCTGCCGGTACGAGACTCGAACCCACAACCTTTGGGTTACGAGTCCGACTCTCTAACCTTAGGCCACGACTTCCCCAGAAGGGGCTCCACAAGACTTCTCCACGAGACGCTTTCTTCATCATCTCGCCTGTGACATGCAGGATATAAAAATGCAGTTCATAAAATCCTCTCGTCATCTGCTCATTGCAGTCTTTAAAATGCATTTGGTTTGCTGACCTACGCTGGTTTTCTCCTTCTA